AGGCGCCCTAAACTAGGGGGGCCTGGGGGCATGCTCACCCAGAAAAGTTTGAAATTTGGGTCTCGGAAATGCCATTTCCAACTATTTCCGCGGAACTTTTTTTATAAAAGCGATGGAAAATGCAGTAGTTAGTTGTTTATTTTACCCATCTCTAGAGTCTTCGGTAACCTACAACTTAAATGGGGGTAAAACAATGGTAAAAACAGGGGGTTTACTTGCAAAGGGCAAGACGTCTACCCTTCAGACCGGCGAACTCTGTTATAACATCATCAATGTCCCTGTGCTTGTGAATGTGCAAAATTGCTAAAGAGCTCAATCTCCTGCCTGTGATGGTACTCCGTAAGGGCGTTTTCAATCTCTTCATATTACTGAAACTATGCTCAGCAGTGCAAGTTGACACAGGATGTCAACAATGTTATCACAGCAACATAAACTCCAGGATAGAATTGAGGGTTGCCATGATCAACCAAAGTCTTTGGCTTCACATTACCATCCATTCCACTCCACTTTTGTCTCCATCTTTTGACCTCGGATTTGAATTCGCCCTTACAGATGTCCATGTCACTGCCGAAGTAGCTGTAGGTATCATCCAAGGCTCTTTCTGTTAGCTTAGTGAGCTTCGCTGGAATATAGAATTAAAGAATTAATATTGTTTGATGCTAATAGCATAGGAGCAGTGATCTCTTTGCCTTCAGTAGGGTAAACAACATATGTAGCTTTTAGGCCTGCAGCTTCGTTTCTCTGTTCTGTTCTCCGACTGTCACCCTTTCCTGCGGCCTTCCTATTACTTATATATATATATATATATATATATACACACAACTTACAAGGAATAAGAAACTGCGCTTGGAAGCCAGGGAGAGGTTTGACTAATTGCTCATCAAGCTCGTTGATGAGGTGGTCTAATAAGGGAAGATACAGGCCCCTCTTCCAGTATGAAGACACTGTGTTAGCCTCGACGTTGCTGCGATGCTCTTGCCTTCCAGATGTCCTGGGTATACATGGTTGGATTTTGTTACACGTTTATGGATTAATGAAGAGGTACTGGAAAAACAAACACACACGCCAGTGTAATTCAAAATTTAAAAATCAGTCCTATTTTATGATAACTTTGACAAATGCTATAAGGGAATAAAAACTGAAATATTTTTTTCCAGATTTCAGCTGTACACACAGGCGTATGTACGTACATGGACGCTACGTCCTTGGTTAGTTTAAGTAACCGAACAATTTTCCTTAGATATGGACAAGAAATTCATCTGACCGAAAGATTCCTATTTCGAACCTAGATTGTACTTAATGAACTGATGCAGTAATGGACAACATTTTTAAGAATTAGTCAACCACTGTAAATGGTACAATCATCATTTATACAACAAAAACTTTAACACAAAGTGTCTATGATGAAAACAAGTTAAAACAAGAAAACATTGTTTATCAGCCAGTTTTGAGATTATCGATAGCATTAGCTGATTCTGGTAGACAAACATTTGCATCATACTGTCATGTCTTTTCTCTGCTTCGTCGCACCTTTTTCTTCCTCTTTCATACTTCTTGCTCCTCAATTTGAGTTCGTTTGGAATCCATGTTTTGTTTTTTTTTTTCGCTTAGGAAAGAGATAGCCTTGCTGCTTGTTCTTTGACTCGTTTTGGGCGGGTCATTGCAATTTTCTTTTGCTTTCTTTGTTTGAGACAGTTTTTCCATGGCTTCTAATCGAATATCTTTCGCATTCTCTTGATCTTCCTCCAATATTTTTCCTTGTTGAGATCGCTCCTCTGCTATCTCCTCTCTTTCTTTCTTTGTAAGGGACATCAAGGTCACTCTGCTCGGGAGAGACCCCACCTGCCTTGATGTCTTCATTCATGTTATTTATTTTTTTTATATCGTGTTTCTACTTTTTTGTGAAAATTTAGGGCTGGCCAGCTAGGCCTCATTTTTTAGCCAATGGTATTTCCCTCGTCTGAGCGAAGTACAAATAAAAATTTATGAGAGATTGTTGCAAGCTCTCCTTTCCTCGTCCCTTCGCGGCTTTGCAGCTCGCTCTTGCTTTCTTGCGTGGCTTGCTTTGCTCGCCCAAATAGGAGAGCTTGCTCGCAGACTATCTATTTTCTCGCCATGGCCAAACGGACTAGAGTGAACTTATGCTGTAGTAACTGTTTTGGATGAACAATGAAAGACCTTCTGTAAAACATGGTATGGATAGTCCGTAGCAACAGTGGAAAGCAGGTGTCTTCTGTCATCTTCTGCTTCGTTCTTCTTTTGAAGTGCATGTTCTGGTGATTTTTCCCCAGTAGGAGTTATTCTGGAGTTTTTCAAGGAATTGCCGATATAAATTATTTTGCCATTCTGTTCCTTTTTTTCTTGTTTTTTTTTCTTTGACAGCAGACTCTTGATATTCTTTCACCAGTGACAGCAATGTTGGGCCCACTGAACCCACCAGAGAAACCCAACGTAGAGTGCCATTTTTTTTGCTGTGTACTGTCTCTTGCAAAAGGTCACTCTGGTCATCAGGCACAGACAAGACATTTCATTTTGGTGTTTTGCACAATTTCGATAATGTCTGCCCTCATTTCTCTTTTCCTTCTGTTAGCTTGATTCTTTCATTTAATCAGTATTATGGGCTTCTGTGTTCCTCTGACAACCATGGTCTTTACAAAATGACTTTCTCCTTCTTCCAGACTTGAAATGGCAGTTTTTCCACCGGTGAGAGCAAAATCGTCATCAAACTGCCCCACTGGAGCAACCACTTCACAATTGTTGGGCCCTTCAGCTACAACATGATCACTGGCAGTAGTGGTACATATATCTTCGTTGCTATGTTACTGTCAGGCAATCTCCTGCATAGAACAAAAATGAGAAACTATCAGTGTAAATGCCGTACAGTAAACACCCGCATATAAGAACACATGATTTCGGGTTCAGGCTGATCTAGTTCATATTTATTGGGTGCTTAGTGAGAAATCAGCCTAAAGATGTTCTTAATATGTTCTTAAACTTCGTTTCAGAAATGTTACACATAACATGTTAGTAGAGGTTTAGTTAGCATATTTTTATTATGAATAATTAAGTAAGCAAACAAAAATCCTAGACAAACAGGCAACTGTTATAGTTTTGTAATTGTCTAGCAGCAACTATAGTTACATTGCTTTCTTATTCTGTCACTCTGTCCCTTATTCTATAATAACTTGGTTAATTTATCAGACTGAACTGGTTCTAATATATATGGTGCTTTAGGGGCCAAATTTCAGTCTGGTGTTCTCAATCCATTTGTTCTTATGTGCGGGTTTCTATGTCAGTTAACAGAGGATCATCCATCCTCATTCAAACATGTTTTTTTTTTTCAAGAATGCTGTCTGTTGAAATAAGCACAGAACCAACTGTTTACAGATGTTGGAAAACAATTATTGCTGAAAAGCAGTCAAGGAACTATGTAAAAAGTACCCCTCGCATTTTCTACATGACATTTTTTATTCATACTGCGTCCAAAAAAAAAAATACATGAAACTTGGAATCGAGTACAGTATGTTGCCCAGTATCCGGGCACTTAAAACAAAAGCTCAATTTTTGAGGGGCCCTTTTCAGATATCGGTGAACGAAGTATTTCGAACAAAAGCTGAACATTTCGGCTTTAAGATGAAGGTTTTGTCGAGTTGAAAGCTTGCAAAACAGTCGCAAAAGACCCCGTTCTGTTCAGGTCAATAAACATTTCATGGCTAATATTTACGCTGTTTACTGTGCAGTAAAATTAGTGCTGCTCGGAAAAGGGTAGGTAATATGTGATATTTTCAATGAAACGGTTTATAATTAAAGTGAAGATACTTAAAGAAATCAGGTTCTCAGAACGTTTATTAGTTCTTCTTGAAATTCGATTTGTTTGGAATAACGGATCCCAGAAACATTCACTAAGTATTGATGTCAGGTGCCTAGTATCCGGACAGTTTTGTCTTTGCTGTTCAGAAACAATGAATTAGCTGTGTACATTATCCGGATAAGATCTATTTCACATCTATATCTATAATTAAAGCTTAAGATATGCGATATAGTTGTAAAATGTAATTCTAGTCAACTCCGTATGTACATTTTCTTCACTCATTCGGAGGCAACTTGATTTCGTGTGCGCCACTTGTTTCGCGTGACTGCATAACCAAAATCATTGGAGTCGAACCTGGAATTCTCATACTTTCCCCAGTTGTGACTGCTAGAATGGGGTTGCAACGGTCTGAAAAATGTCACAACAGGATTGAGAGATGTGAAAGTAGGAGGAATTAGTGTAGGGTCTGTAGGGACTGAGCATGAAGAAATCAACACTGTAGGTCAGACTAAATGGAAGAGTGACCTTTGACCTTTGCATTGAGGTCCCTTCCCCAAGCTTTTTTTTTAAAATATAAAATGAAGAAAAAAAATTGTTTGCAGATTGGTTAATTGAGCTAGCAAACCACTGTCTTTCTTCATATTAAGGACTAAATAGACTTTCTCTGGGCCAAATTTCAGAGCTCTCGCGACTAACAAAGGAAAGTTATTGCGATGCTTAACTGAAGTGTCCGGATACTGGGTAACATCCTGTATGAAGATAAAAATCATATACATGATCACCTTTGGTGTTGAGAACTGAAAGCCATGTGTGATCGACGTTAAAGACTGTGTTACAAAACTCGATGACTGCGTGACAGATCTTGAGGGCTGTGTTTAAGAGACTTGTGTCTGCTTTTTGAGCGATAGAGATTGTTTGACAGAAACTGATGTTTGCATGATACTTGCTGAGGACTTTGTCGTTTCAGAGGTTTTTGTGCGTACAAAAAACTGTGCATGATTCTTCCTAAGCCATTGGGGACCACCTGTGACAGCGACTCATCCTTGTTGTTTTCATCTCTCACATTTAACGCTACTTGATAAACTGCTTCTCTGTTGAGTGTCTCACTTAGTGCTTGTTTATGTTTTAGCTTACCGTGGGTTTTCTCTTGTTCTTTTGTCGTATCAGCAATTATTATCTTTTGCTCTAGAGGAGCTCTTTGGGCCTTAAGGGCTAGTAATTTGCTTACGCTTGACGATGAAGAGATCTGAGTTCCTTGAGACAAGTCTGATTTTGTTTCGTCCTTTACTTCCAAAAATTTGAGGCAACCAAGCGCGGCAGTGCCAACTCTCTACTCAGGAGCTTTGGAGCTTGTATTACTCACAAATATCCAGGGCTAGATCACAAGATGAGGCTAAATGACCTGTTACCTTGAAGGTGCCATTACCCACTTAATGTCTTAGTAGTTCTTTAAAGAGCCTAAAGTGTGTGATATTTATTTTCTCTAAGTTTTCCAGCAGCTTCTTTGCACTTGTCACATCTCCACTTTTTGTTGGAAGTTGGAATGAAATGCCCATGCTGGTATGGTAACACATGTAGGATGATACCACTCTGCATTTTAAGCACTCAACATATTTGTTTTGATCATTTGGTAGTCTGCAGGTGCAGTAAATTGCAATTTGTGTCTTGTTGGCAACAAAGTGTAGAGGCTTTCTTCACTTAGTTTTGGCTTATCGCCCTGCTTTCAAGGCAACTGATGTAGTGGCTGCGCAAAGTATTTTTGACATACCTTTTGTTCACTGGGTCAAGGCCATGGCACAAATCTGCTGCAAATGCTAGTGCAAAAAAGGCTGCAGTTTTTCATTCCTGTTTGTTTTTAAACTTTTTCATTCACAAAGGTTACTTTATGCTTTGGAAACATTAACATCCATCAAGCATGCTCTTTTGCAATAATGCTCAGGGTTGGTAAGCCAAGAAGGTTTACACAGCATGTTTTCTTTGCCTATGATGGATAGAGAAATACCCATACCCATTCCATCTAACTGAGGTTTGGTTGTCAGGGCAGCGCGCACACTTGGCCCAACTTTAGAGACTTCACATTTCCTTATGAACTCTGTGAATTGCAACCTTGCTATGCTGCTTTCAAAGTTTTGTTCTTTCTTATTTCTTCATAGAGGTCGTCTTGTGTTTTTTGCTGTTTGTGGTGTTATAATAGCTGAGCTTCTTGCTGGCGCTTTTGTGCACCTGAGCAGAGCCCCACAGCTAAGAAAATTTGGTAATCTATCCATCCAAGAAAATTTGGCAGTGACGTCAGAGTACGACCTTCTGTCTGCTCAGACTCTGGGGGACGCTGAAGGGTGTCGGGAGTCATCCTGTTGGGGGAGGAGTATGTCATAACGGTGGTGCTGACTTCAGGCTTTTCCTATTTCTATGCACTGTTTCCTGAGGTGTCTTAACTAGATACGAATGATCTGCATACTTTTTCACACATATGCCACTCTTCCGGGTCTGATTACATTCAAGAGGTGCAATCCTTTCTTCCTGTCCGACTTCAATTTCCGGGAGTACCTTGGCTGTGTGATCATGTTAGTATTTGGCCTTCTGCTTGTTTTCTTTGATCTTTTCTTTACCATCTTTGAGAGCTTTCTTGATTATGGTCTGGGCAACTTTAACCGCTGATTCTGCCTTTCTGTTTGATTTAGAGTAATGTGGTGACGAGGTTACATGCTTAAACTCCCAGGTGGAGGCGAACTGTGTGAACGCTTGATTAACTGTGGACCATTATCCTGGGACCACTGTAATTGGCTAACTGCTGTTGTGGCACCCCTGCCTATTAAGCATTTATTTATTATTCATTGTTCAGTAACAGGGGAAGCTAATAAAATAAAGTAAAAATAGGCAGCCTAAGACTGCATGTGTCTACTGCAGTACTGGTATAGAAATGTAATATAAAAGAATTGAAGAAAAGAAAATAAGACTGAAATAAAAACGAAGAGGGAGGAGTGGAAATAGAATAGGGATAAAAAAGAAAACTTTGTAAACATCTTTGCACAGAATACTGGTGAGAAGGGATTAAGCTGGTACCTTTTACCACAAACATTTTGTGTGAAGAGAACTGTAAGTTTATTCTAACATAAACAATATATTATATAATCTTACAACATGAACCACAACTTTTGTACTGAAAGCAATGCAGCAAAGTTCTATACGTAAAGTACTGAAAGCAAAGTTCTAATTTGAAACGTAGGCATAAAATGCAACAGAAACTATTAATCTATAGTGAACTTAGGAATGGCAAGTATTTGGACAAAAACACTCGACACGCTCAATTAGATGTCTGTTCAACAAATACAGGACTTATTATGGCCTTATTCATAGCTTCCAAAACGAGGTAGTCCGTTGTCTCCCAAAAGAAGTGAGTGCTAGGAACAGTACTGGATTTCTTTGCCTCGCAAAGGCGATTATAAATTTCTACCTGAAAGGAATTTTCGCTCTCCCGAAAGAGACTATTCGCTCCCCAAAGGGAATTTTCGATCTCTCGAAAGAGATTTTTAGCTCCCTGAAGGAAATTTTTGATCTCTCGAAAGAGATTATTAGCTCCCCGTAGGGAATTTGACCCTTGAAAAGGGTTACACATGATCCAGTGACGACCAAACGGACATTGAACACGTTGAACTGCAGAGGAAACTGAATGTGCATGGACATTGGCACTCAATTTAATCTCGTCTCGATAGCGCCAGTACACTCTGATGGGGAGAGGCACTTGCTCTTTGTCTTCTGGCCACTCAGTAATAACAGTTGGCTTCAGTGTGTGAATTTCATAAAAGAAGCTTGTATCTGGAGTGAGGAAAACAACTCGGGGTGGTAGCTTAAGAATGCAACAGAGGAATTGTTAATAGCTGCAAAAACTGTTGGTGTCATTGGCACTGAAGAAACTGTTAGAAAAATTTGAAAAAATCGAAAATATCTGGCTTTGAAATAAGAGATTAGAAGAATGTGGGGTATAAGAAAACGTGGATGTAGTTCCAGTTGTCTTAGGGGCCCTTGAAAGTGTTACCAAGAAACTTGAAAAATGGAGTGAGAAACTGGTGATTAGAATTGGACAGCTTCAAAAAACTGCCCTATTGGGAACGGCCAGAATTTTAAGGAAGGTGCTTAGCTTCTAAATACCAGGTGAGTGTACCCAGGGAACCTTGGTTATTTATGACTCCCTCCCTTGGGATGTAATTTTTTTTTTCAGCAACATCTTGTTGGAGTTTATTTCTCTTTTAGCTCTGTTTACAACATATCGTATTAAATCTTCCACTTCCTTCTTTGTTGGAGACGCCATTCTGTAATTTTTATTTATTATTCACTATTGTATGTAACTTTGCAATCTTTTAAAATTATTTAAGAGGCATTTAGATCATTCACATATCAGCTTTTTGCTTAAACTCAATCTGTTTCTTTAATGTTGCCGAGACTCTTAATGACTTACATGACTTCAGCAGAGTTAGTGATATACCTTGTTTGTGCATTTACCTGACAACCAACCCTGTGAAGGGAAAGGGTACATGTGTGGCGTAAAAAATAATTTCAATACAAACGTTCTTTACCTTTAGTTATTTTTCTGTTGCTGGCGGCAATGTTGCACATACCACAAGATGATTTGCTACGACTGCTTTTAGAGCAAAAATCAGTGTTGAAACAATGTAAGAATTTGAAGCAGTGTCGCGAAAATGTTGCAATGATGTATTGAGATAAAATAGTGTGATTCATCCCTAGTAACATTGTTATGATTAAAACGAGTGGGTTGCCTTTAAAAAAAGAAAAGTGGTACTCCAAAAGTAACAATCAACCTGTTTTGGAGATGGTCAGACATGAAATAGTAACCAAGCGGCAACAGATTGAAAAAGAATAATTACCTTTAATCTTTATTATTGTTTTATAACAGTTCAATAGTAACAGCTATGACAGTATCATTTTCACCAACAATTTTATAAAGGGAAATTAAGGGTCTAACATACCAATTTTCAGGGTCAATTATAGTTCAGTACAATGCACTACTGTTACAGCTTTTAGTTTATTGACAGGCCAACCATTAGTATGAGTTGATAAACCACAATACTTGGGGGAACCAGTATCAGGGTCGGTAGCAACGACTTTGACAGCTTGTTCAGGGTCCTTGATTTTATGATGCCCTGGCTCCTTCTTCAAGCCCATCTCTTTCTGGATGCCATCCATAACTCTATCTATTGTTCCAAGGGAGCCTGCCACCCTCTGTGCAGATCTCTGCATGATGTGTCCTAACAGTGATTCCAGAACCATCTTTAACATAAAGTGGAGATGTTCCATTTGCGGGTAAATCTAACAAGCCTTTCAGCATAGCCCTCTGTGATAGCATTATTAGGATTAAGGAAATAAGTCCAAATTACAATCTATTGGAATGGCAATTGTATATGTTATCTTCTTTGCTATCTTCCTGTGGACTCTCTTACTGGGTAGTTGTTGTGTCTTCAAATCATTTTTAGCTCGTGGATACCTATAGCCCACTAGTAGAAAATCGCCCCAGCTTTGAAAACCATAACCATGGTGGCTAAATCGCATTTTGCTGGCTAAAGATGTTTTTTTTCGATACATATGACCAACTAGTTGGAGTTTAGTAGAACAAATTATTCCTCCACCACTCATACCTGTGAGTCAATAGCCCACTTAGCTTTCGGTCTCATGGGCTATTGACTCAGAGCCCATTCTGTATGGAGGAATTAATTTTTAATTACCACTTTGTTTCTCATATACAACTGGAGTACACAGAGTAACCAAAGCTTTCAATTGGATCTATTGTGGGCTATGTTAAAACTTTGTTTTGGTGGCAAGTTCGTGGATATAAATTTTTTCATTCATAATCGACCTCATTTCCCCTTGGTGTGCTAGTTCTCTTTTTTCTTCCCTTCTCTTGATCTATTCTCTCGATAGCCGTCTGATTGAATAAACATTGTGGTAGTGTTGTTAATACTTTATTGACTGTTGAGTAAACATGAGAAAGGACTGTTTTCACTGATTAATCAAATTGTAAAGAAGATAGAAAGTAGGACCCATCAAAACTTAAATTTCTAGCTTTTTGTGGTAGTAGATCCAAAAATATATATATATATGTCCATACAAAGTTCTACTGTGGATGTTTCCACACACATTTGTTTCATCAGATAAATTGTTTATATTGTCATTGAAGGTGTACAGTCATTAAAATGGAAAGTTTCTTCGATTGAATCAAAAACATGAACTGGAATGAACTTATTAACAAACAATGTGACAATTTCTTAAAGGAAAGTTTATGTATGTAAATATGTCAAAAACTTGTAGAGAAGAAATTTTGTTGTAATTCAAGACACCTTGTAACTGATAAAAAGAATTATGTATTTTTAAAATCATTCATTAAAAAGTATGACACAAAAATGGCATCCACTGGTAGTATATATGCTTCTGTTGTCACCAATCATTGACGCTTTCTTTTCTTGTTTGGGCTTGGCTGATTGTTTTGACGACGTATATAATCATTGTGATGCTCGTTGCTGGAATTAGGAAAGATAAAATATATTAATTTAGCATAATTTGATTAAGAAAAGGTCCAAACACACAGTATGCTAGATATTCTTATAGCTTAGTAGCAAGTTAACAACTTAAAATGTTATCATAGGAGACTGTTGTCAGCTTTATAATATTGTTACAAAATGTAATGCATGTAAATTGAATGAAGGCAATTTATGATTTAATTAAAATTGTGAAATTGATAGTACAATACTATATTACACAATTATTATTATGGACTAATTTTATTGTCATGCTTTGTTCACTTGGTGCACTGCAGTATTAGATTCTGCTTTATGACAAGATGCAATTAAGGTAATAGGATTAATATTCCTTTGGCTTTCTATTCTGTTGCGTTGCATTGTTTCAAGAAGTGTAATATGTCTATATTCTTTCTAATACAAGAAAACCAACTGGGAAAACTCACATAACTGGGAGAGGCATGTGTCAACAATGCTGTGTGCAATGTTGACTGCTGTTGGTCCTACTGAGGTAATCCGCTGCGGTGGATGATGTGTTCACTGTCATCGTCATCAGTTTCATCTGTGCCATTGATGTCTTGTTCAGCATCATTGTTGATATCACTGTCACTATCTGCAGCACTTTCGTCTGTGGCATCAATGTGTTGTGCAACATCGTTGTTGATGTCATCATCTAAGTCGTCGGTTTGGTCAGTTGTTTCAGGGATATGATCGCCATATCTTTCCTCGTCATTCCATAATGATAGAAGCAGTTGTATTGCAACTGACAGGCATAAAACATGTGATTTCCCTCTAGAATACAACCCTATAAATAAGATAATTTGGTACAATTAAAAGTCCATTCAAATAAAAGAAAAAAGTAAGGTCCAGCAATTAATCAATCGGGGGAAATAAATTGCAGTTGTGGCTTTTCTTAAGTTCAAGCCTTTGTAATAATTACCGAGGTTGGTATTGAGAGTAACTGGCAGCTGGGAAACATCATCAAATGGTTTTTGTAAAGAAATGTGATCTCTTGTTTGTTGACCTTTTTGCATAAAGTTAATTACAGAGTAATAGTAGGTACCGTATTTATTCGACTATAAGCCGAGCGATTTTTACACAAATCAAAACTGAATTGAATTAAAATTTGGGCTCTAGAGGGGGTCTCGGCTTATAGCCGAAAGTTTTTTGAAAAAAAATTTTTTCCGGCGCATGGAAACTCTACTAAATCGAGATGTATTTACGTATAAGCCGAGCTAAAGTAAAGAAACACAATATGCAATCGTTGGTTATTAACTTTTAAGAATGTGGTGGCTCCTAAAGGAGGCGTTTGATAAATTTAATGTGTTTTCACGGAAAAGATAAAGATTCTTGATAGGGAGTAACCGTGACGCTGACGGGATGTGATTACAAATCGATGGAACTTGACTGTTTGCTGCTCCAAGTCTTCTGGGAGACGCTGAGCGAGTGTTGTTTTGGTGCGAAGGCTGACGGAATGGCGGCGTTTCCATTTCTGGTACCAGCCGAGGGACGCTTGAAACTCAGAATCCTCGCTGAATTCCTTTGCCTTTAGACGTAGTGTCAATCCGCTAACAGCTATTCCTATGCAAACCGAAGTGAGAAGGTTACCAAACGATCGCAAGGTTAAAAATTTGACACGTCTTGAATTTGTTTTGACATCTGTGAAAACTGGCCAATGAGAATCTTTCATACACAATATTGTCACATGATACTACGATAGTTTTGAGAGTCACACATTCAACTCATATTCACTCTGCAATCAGCTGATAGATTTATTTCGTGATCTTGTTTCCGTTGTTTTAAAATACAAATCAATGCTCGACAAAAAACTTACCTTGGCTTCTCTCCTCTGTAAATTATTCCAGTATTCTTTGATCGCGCTCCGGATACTTCGGCGTGAAGCATCCCATCGTCTTCCGTTTCGCTGACAATTTAATCTCGCCGTTACAAAGGTTCGCTTGATCTTTCCTCCAGCGACGGACCATGGACTCACTGATGCCATATTCTCTGGCGATTTCAGAGTTATTTTCAACAGCTTCTGCTTCGGCGACTATTTTAAGTTTAAGCGCGAGGTTGTATGACGTGCGATGAGCCTTGGGCATGATGACAACTTGACTTGAAATAAACGATTGCGAACACGAGATTGTTTGATAGACGCTACGGATGTCTAGGTACTGGTGATGCCGCTTAACAACACAGTTTTAAATTCATTTTTTGGATCACATTAATTCATCTGAGTTATGATTCATTGCGTTTCAATTGAATAGTTAGTTACGGGTAATATTTATTAATTCGCGTGTGTTTTCTAAGAGGGAAGCTTTTTGCATAATAAATCACCATTACATCTCTTGTTTACGCGTGTTATATATTTGTGTTATCGTCTAAGCCTCATTTATGACAATCAATGTGATTTTTTTCCGAAAATGTTAGGTTTTCCCGTAGTTAACAATTCAGTCTTGTTATAATGAATGGGTCTCGGGTTATAGCTGGGTGTTTTCGATTTATTTTTGGTTCTCGTTATGCCGAGTTCACACGTTCAAAGTTTGGGGTCTCGGCTTATAGCCAAGATCGGCTTATAGTCGAATAAATACGGTAATATGCATTTTGGAGAAATTTATAGTGCAGTAACAAGATAAATTTTATTAAGAGACATTTTTTAATGCACAAAAACAAGTGCATGTTCCATTGTGAAGTGTGTTCTTGTGAAAGAATATCACTCCAATCTAGACTATTGTCCTATTAATGAATATGGAAGTGTTGGTATGTTTGTGCAAGTTATAACATGAAAATTTTGCAGTTAATTAAAATTCAAGCATATCAGTCATCAAAGTCATGTTTAGATTTGTGCTGTTAGCTTTGTGTACATTTTTGTTGAGTTTTGTGGACTAAGCTGGCTCTTAATGCTTAAAACAAGTTATTACTAAATTTGGCTTGGCTCTTCTTACCTAGCTCCTAATCTCAGCAGCACAACTTAAATTGGGGACACTAAAATTTAGGTATAAGGTTTTACACTTGTCAAGACCGAATAAAACTGAAGTTATTCAGTCCTAACAGACATGATTTGTTACTCTAAAGATCAGACCAGAAGTTTGGACAGAAGAATGGATTTATTCTATCGTGTCTAAACCTTTAGGTACAAAACTATAACCTGATATAAACGGCATGATTGATTGGTTAATTAGGTAAACTACCTTTGACAACTACATAATTACATAACAATCATGACATCCCCCTTTTCCTATAACAGTTGAATACATGTTGCATATATATGGTATACGACTATGAGGTTTATAATATTGTATAACTATGTGTTCATACAGAGTCCTTAAATCGGATCGGTCTGATCACTTGTCGACGGGATCGTGTGTATATTGGAGTGGGTGCTGGCTGTGACTCCTCACCGTAGGTGGAGTGCGGGTCAGTGGAGTGTTGATCTTGTTCTACGGATGTGTTTGTTGAAGGCTGAGTGATCCCGATGTTTGGAGATGGAGTAAACTCCTCTTTGGTGCTTAGTAGGTCACGCCTGTTCCTGCGAAGTCTGTGTCCGCTTTCAGTTTCGACAGTGTAGGGCCGAGGTGGATATTCAAGTGGTTCAATGACTTTGCCTTTGGTAGCCCATGAGGTTCCGTTCTGGATTCTGACAGTATCGTGTGCACTTAGGCTTGGTAGGGACTTTGCACCTTGATTGTAGTATGCTGATGAATAGTTAGGGGCTTTGACGCGGTATGGCTTTGCAGATGGTAGTAAGGTTCTTGGGTTCCATTGCATGAGCTTGAAAGCTGGTGAAGGACCACCATCCACTGTAGGAGATGTGCGAGAATTGAGGAGCGCCAAATATGGGTCTTCACCATCTTGCAGTGTTTTTTTGATGAGATTTTTGACTGTCTGCACAGTTCGTTCAGCCATACCATTGCTTTGTGGATATGTGGGACTTGACATGACATGTTTGAAGTCCCACTGCTTTGCGAATGTGGCGAAGCCATAGGAGGAAAATTGTGGACCATTGTCAGAAACTACAATCTTTGGTATTCCTTGACGTGCAAAAATTGATTTCATTTGAGTTACAATAGTTGAACTTAACGTGTCTGCTAACAAGCAAACCTCAAAAAACTTAGAGTGGTAGTCTACTACTAGTAGATAATTCTTACTCTTTAAGTTAAACAGATCAACACCAATTTTTATCCAGGGTTGGTCGGGAATTTCGTGAGGGATTAAAATAATTTAATGCTCGTGTGTTTACAAACGCATGAAAGTGTGAGAAAACGTATGTTTTGCAGGTTTTAACCAAGTACAGATTGGGCGATAATCTAACGAATGTAGAGCGATAACCCAACGATTATAATTTCAAAGGACATAAAACAGAATAATCAAAAGAACTTCACTCATTAAACGTCCTAGAATGCAAATCTAACGACTTTGCCGAACGCTTTGAACATCCTGGAACGAAATTTCAAACGACTTTTTCTAACACTTTGAATGACCTTGACTAACGCCTTTAATGGTTTCTCTAATGCTTCTAACGCAAGGCAAATTTTTCAAACGGTTTTACTAACGGCTTGAACGCTTTCCCAAGCCGTTTTAACGCTTAGTTAATGGATTCTTAACGCTTTAAGCCGTTAAACGGTAAACCGTTAGTGTACGTTTTCCTGGAGAAGGTCACAAATGCTCTTTTTGTTGCTTGTTTCTATATTCTAAACAGATGCTACAATTTCCTATCATATGTTATTTTAGTTGACATGCCTGGCCAAAAGAGAACTTCTCTTGCTCGTGATTTTTCAATGCCCAGGTGGCCTGCGTGTATTTTTGTACGCATTTCTTGGCGCATTGTAGTGGGAAGGATGATGCGCTCGTTTCGCAGAAGCAGACCATTTGCAGCAGTGATTTCATCGCGATATTTGTAGTATGGATGTACAAGAGAATCAACATCTTTCTTCTGCTGGGGCCATTCTTTTTCTGTATGCTCCCGGAGTTTCTCTAAATCAGGATCGCGTGAGGTTTCGCGCTGAAACTTGAGAAGCTTGTCATCACTAATCGGAAGATTCGATATTACGAAATGAACATGGCGTGTCATGTCAGAGGTATCAATCTCAGGTGTTGATGTGTTACTGAGATATGCACGACTTAGCGTGTCTGTGACCACCATGTCCTTTCCGGGAATGTAGTTCGTTGTGAACTGGTACTTCTGTAAGCGAAGTAGGAATCGTTGAATTCGAGGAGGAGATTTGAGCACTGGTTTTTGAAAGATATCTTTCAAAGGCTTGTGGTCGTTTTCGACTAAGAAATGCTGACCATAGAGAAAATCATTGAAATGCTCGCAGGCAAAAACTATACTGAGAATCTCCTTTTCAATTTGGACAGTTGGTTTCCGACGAGGTCATTGATCGACTTGCAAATGCGACTGGATACCAGTTGTCGCCATGTTTTCGCTCTAGAGTGGCACCGAGACCACTTTTGCTCGCGTCAGATGATACCTTGATTGGCAGTTTTGGGTCGAAGTACTTGAGGACCGGGGTGTTGGTTATTATCAATTTCAATTCTTGGAATGCTTGTTGCTGTGGAGTATCAAAAGACCATACTATGTCTTTTTCCAACAATACTCTAAACGGAGCAGAAACCTCTGAAAGGTTGGGCACAAATTTTCCGAGGTACGTGACCATGCCGAGAAATCTCTGAAGGTCGGACTTATTCTCCAGGGCGGGCATGTCGAGAATTGCTGATACTTTCCGTGGATCGGCTTTTACGCCTTCGGAGGTCAAGAGTTGACCGAGATACATTCTTTGATTAGATCCAAAAATACACTTTGATCTATTTAATTTAAGACCGGAAAAGCGAATCCTTGAGAGAACATTCTTGAGCCGCCGATCATGGTTATCTTTTGTGTCGCCCCAGACAACAATGTCGTCTTGTGCGTTTGCACATCCCTCTAATCCCTCTAAGATTTCTGTCACTTCGGCTTGAAAGATTTCCGATGTGCAGTTAACGCCAAATGGAAGACACTTAAATTTGTAGCGACCAAACGGTGTGTGAAAGGTGAGCAGTTTTGAACTTTGTTCGTCAAGCTTTAATTGCCAGTAACCCGAAGAGGCATCTAATTTTGAGAAGTACTTCGCGCCGGCCATTTGAGAAAGAATATCCTCGGCAGTGGGTAGCTGGTAGTGTTGCCTCTTTATCGCTTGATTGAGATCTCGAGGGTCAAGGCACACACGCAGTTTTCCATTAGGTTTCTCAACGATCACGAGATTAGAAACCCAATCAGTGGGCCCGTCAACCTTATCTATAATGTTGAGGCGCATCATGCGGTTAAGCTCATCTTTCAATTTCTCACGCAAGGCAAAGGGAACTTTCCTAGGCGCTTGTATAACAGGGGAGAAATTCCCATCTATGGTTAGGTGATGAACCTTAGATAAACTACCTATTTCACCAAGGCAATCGCTATACTCATTAATTAAACTAGAGTACTCACAATCTACAGTCATTAGACGGTTAATGAGGTTGAGTTTCTTGCAAGTGTTCAGTCCTACGAGGGGGACAGAATCCATTTCTGCCACAATGAAGAGAACTTTGTATTCTTGATATCCATTCTTCAGAGTGACAATGCACTTGCAGACGACTGGTATGTCGGTGCCATTGTAGGAAGTGAGCTTCACTTTTGCTGGATGTAGCTTAGGTTTGTGGATGAGTTTAGAGTATTCCTTTTTTGGAAGAATGTTAACTTGACTGCCTGTGTCAAGTTTGTAGTTTATGTTGGTTCCATTTGATTCCAAAATGAGAGACCATTCCAGTACCTCATCTTCTGCATTGTGTGAGTGTAGAGTCGTTTCGTTGACATCTTTCTCTTCCCCTAGGCTTTCCACTGTTATCGCACCGACAAAATTCTGCCATTCATCCTCTCTCAGGTCGGGGTGGTGAGTGATTTCATGAATCGGCCTGTTGCATGCTTGTTGAGGGTTGGATCTGCGTTGTTTTTTAGGGCAGCATTGTGCGAAGTGATTTGGAGCACCATAATTGTTGCATAGCTTTCCGTATGTTGGGCAATTTCCACGATTATGTCCACGACCACAAAATTTGCAGTTAGGAAAGTACTCTGGTGTCGCGCCTTTGTCTGTCTGGGTATCACCCCTTGGCCGACCATATCGACTGGAGTAGGTTTCGCATTCCTCAGCACGTTTCTTCAGTTCAGTAACAAAATCATGAAAAGGCTGTCCATCTTGTTGGTTGTAGGAGAAGAATTGATAACGTAGAAAGGTTGTGTTCTTTCGAGGATTGCAGTACGCTCTGAATTTACTTAGGATCGGACTGACTTTCATCTTGTCTTCCTCGGTCTGGAAGGTGAAGGTGTTGTAAATTTCACAAGCCCTTTTTCCTATACAAGTGAGTAGGATAGATGATTTAACTTTTTCGGATTTTCCATCACTCTCAATTAACATTTTTAATTTCAGCAATTTCATGTATTGCAAATGCTTTACAAGTCTCATTTATGCATTTTAAAAAAGAGTATTTAATAAAATTTATTTAATACTTACTATTTACATTTTGTTGTGAAAACATCCAAACTTTGTTGACCTGAAAAAAATGAAAAAGGAAGAGCATCATCAGCATGTAAATGTTCCAGTTTATGCAGTAGCAACTGCAACAGCAACAGCAGCTGCAACTGCAGCATCAACAACAACAGCTGCAGACTCAGTTACTGACGGCACTGATTGAGAGGCTCAATAATAATTAACTTGCATTTTATTGACACTCGTAAAGGTTAATTTTATGCAATTTAAAATATTTTTGAAAATTAGATTACCTTGGCGGAAATTTGTAAAACAAGATTTCTTATCTTATCTATTTTTACAACACATTGTTATGTATTTGCAAAAAATGATTTTTCATTTAAAATATTTGTACCTTGCTTCGGGAAATATTGGTATCAATATGTAAATAATTTCTCCATCAACTGTAAACAAATAAGCACTTTTTTGAACATATCTTTTTCTTCCTCAGTTTTAGAGTCCTGTATAAAAGAACTCGGATGTTGATTTTCCTTTATATGAAAGATGCTGGCCCTGGTTGCATTTGAACATTTAACTATTCTGTATGAGCCACAGGATTATTTTTTCTTGCTTTTGTGGATACAGCCAAAGGCTGATTAAGGAGTACAAAGGCCCATTTCAAATGCTGAATATTTTTGCATGTACTGGACCAAAAGCAAACTGGCAAAAATAGTAGCTAGCTTTTCATCTCATTTGGGCCAAAGAAACACAGAGGCATGAGAAAATCCTCCTGCATGGAGGATTACAGTTACACATGACGTCCACTTTTAAATCTTAAAATTCTTTTATGCACCCGGGCCCAGAAACTTTAAAATGCTCATGGCAAATTAATTCCCTCAAAGCCTACCAAGGCTGGGTTGTTCTTTACGATGATTTTTGCAAAATTCTTTTGAAAATAGTTTCAACAGGGAAATTGAATTGTGTTGATTACAAAAATATTCATACCCCATGATGGAAGTTATTTGGCTTTGAGCCCTTGCCCACCGCCTACCTCCCCTTCATGTATGCAGTTCAGCTGTATTTTCTATCTCCTATAGCTTCTCTCTCGTTGGAAATGTCAGTGAGATTCGTTAGGGTATGTTAGGATATTTCCTGTAAACATTTACTCGTTGAAACAATTTTATCAAGCAAAAGTAACATTCCACTGAAGGTGTATCAATGCCAAAGAAAGTGGAGGTACTTGATCCATATATGCAAGAGTGAGCATTTCTCAACAGTGCACATACTGTATACATCTTGCCAATAGCACTTAACCCAACTTTAAGATCTTTTTTAAAGTCAAGGAAAGCAAAGTATTCTACAATGTCACCAAAGACCCACTCAATTGAAATTCTAACTTTACTCATGGACTGATTGAATGCCTCTTGCTGTGATGTCAGGGCAGCACCCTTGAAAGGTCCCTGAAGATGTACCCTAAGAGGGTAAGCAGGGTCGCCGTAAATACAGAGGGGTTGACCATTTGGTGATATGGAATGAACCTCTAACATTGGCAGCAAGCCAGACATTGCCAACATACCACTATCATGTCGTTGACCTTCCATTTGCAGCAACAACACTCTGGAATTTAATGGAATGAACCCTTTTGTGTCCATTACAGAGTACTCGCTGGTGAACTCCTGGTCAACACACTGGTCGCACGGTACCGTCTACGAATCCCCAGCAGTTTTCAAGTGCTGCTCCCTTTCGATAAACCGCATCTGCAAACGTTACTAGATTTGCTGGTGATAGCCATGGCTTGTTAAAATCAGTCAGTAAATGACCATGTCGCGCAAAGATTAAACTTATCATTTCATTCACAACCATGCTGATTTCGGCACAGCCCTTCCAAATCTTGGTACCAAATCTTCGTATCTACATGGATATGCAAATCGTCTTAAAAGCATGCAGAGAGTTTCATCACTGTAAACGTAAAAACGGTTTTCACAAACGATTTTCTCCGGGGGGATTTAACACTTTGAGAAGAGTGTAGATGTCATGTTTGAGAAACCGAAATTCGCTCTTGCATTCGGCGTCTGTCAAGGTATCGAGATCGAATTTGTCATATCTCCAGTACGGTAAGTCGAGGTTCTTTGATGAATTCAAGTCGTACAGGAGAAGCAGTTCTTCATTGTCTATGAGGGTCATGTCGTTTGCTAACATAAGTGCATCTCTTGCATCTCTAAAGGTGGCCATCTTCGTACTGAAATACACAAAATCTGCTCCGCGGGTTTACTTTTTCCCCTTATGTCTGTATTAACATTTGTTAGCCAAAGAAGTTCTTCGCTGCCTGCACTGAGGTTCACATCATTTGCTGTGAAAAAAGGGCTTTTTTAGTCGCTGAAAGTTCCGATTTTGCTGCACATTAAGCACTTACAAGTTGTAGCCACTTTAGGGTTTTCCTCTGGCGTTGCATTGTGTTGCATAAGGTTTGTTTACGTACAGGACGGCAACGTCATAGCTCGCGTGCTCGACCTAGTCCTCACGCAAACGCAAGTTGCCGTCCTGTTGCGTAAGGTCTCTAAAGATGTGGAATTACAGGAAGACAGGAACGTATTTGCCCAACTGATGATGGTCTCCAAAAGTCTTCCTGAAATCGACATCAGAGAAGCTATCGGACAGCATGAGTTTTCAGTCATTCCACGATCTCTGTTTGCAAATGATGGGACTGTTTCATTGCTCAATGAAAAGCGCACTCATGAGTATTCTGGAGAAGACTGGCGAATCACTTGACATTTTCAAGGGCTGACGACAGCGTTGCCTCCTCAGCTCCATCCACGGTGACAGTTGCTATCATCGATTAGTTTTTGACTGATATGACTTACCTTCTTCGCTGAAAACTGCAACCAGAGCTCAAATGCAAGGAACCACAGACCCAGTGTATTACCACATCACTGACTCGACTCAAATTGCCAAAGCCAACATGAAACGACTCCTGTGTCACTCAAATACGAAGATGGAACTAACAGTGTACCTGGTGCAAAAGTCTATGGAATATGCTGTGCAAAATGGAGGACGTTTTGTTGTGTCATGGGCATGTCAATGTGAAGCTGCTCATCAAAGAACTGAGTATCTCCAAAGTAATCAGGAAGAGGCTGACACGAAGTTACTTTTGCATGCTCTTGATGCCTCTGCCAATGGTGCAACTATACTGACAATCCACTCGCTAGACACAGATGTCTTTGTGTTGTCCCTAAGATGCTATCCGGAGCTCTGCCAAAACACCTACTTCGTAACTGGTACAGGCCAAAGACATAAGGACGAAGGATAAGCTTAATGCCAATTTTCCAGTCGCTTTGTTTGGCTAAAGCAGCCGCCCTCCCTGCTTTTCATGCCTTGAGTGGAGCTGATAACACGGGCAGCTTCTCAGGAAAAGGAAAATTGGCATGCTGAAAAGTCTTCAGTAGAGCTGATGACGATGTCATTACTGCTCTCGCAAACCTTGGAACAACAGAACACTCAGATGAAGATACCATAAAGTAGGTTGAGAAGTTTGTCTGCCATCTATACCAGCCAATTACAAGCACTTTTCAGGTGAATGAGCTAAGGTTGGGTTTATTTAAGAAGAAACAAGCACAATCGGAGAGATTACCACCAACCCAAGGTGCTTTAAGTGAGGCCATTCTTCGAGCACATTATCAGACCATGGTATGTAACAACGACAATGTTCCAAACCCAAATATCCCATCACCAGAAAACTATTGGTGGAAGAAAGACAGCAACGAGTGGTTGCCTGTGATGACGAAAACGCCACCAGCTCCAGAGGCAATTATTGAGATGGTGAAATGTGGCTCTGGGAAGCAGCAATGCTCAACAAATAGGTGCCAGTGCCAAAAGAGGCACTGGCCTAACCTGCACTGAACTTTGCGCATGCTCTGATGAAGACGAGCCCTGGGAAAATGCTTTGCAGGAAGATGATGGTGATGAATATATTGATGACAATGATGAAAAGGGCAATAGCTATGATAATGAAGGCAATTCATGTATTTGAGATTTATGTCTTTATCACACTTTTTAAGGGGCGATTGATCACAGTTTTAAGGTTGTAGAGTGTGTAGAAGTCTTGGTAGTTGTTATTCTTTTCTCTTGAAATGATCTGTGTTGATACATGTGAATAAAGGTAATTTGCATTATGGAAAAAAAGGTAATTTAAAGATAAAGCCTCATTTTCAAGCCCTTTAATCACCTGATAAAGTGGTAGAAGGTTTCAGTTTTCGATGTGAGAAAGTCTATGGAATGTTTCTCCTTCATTATAACTTACTTCTGCAGTGATATTTTAAAATAAGATACGAAAAAAGAGCACATTTAGAATTCAGCCTGGTTTTCATACTTTAGGTCACGTGATCACAATTTCCAGCTAAATGTGTGTAATGTAAGAGTAAAGCTATTCTTACAATTTGTAGATGAAATATTGACATATAAGAGGCAATAAAGACGATTTAAGATGTAGCCTCGTTTCCATGCCAATATTGTATGGGACGTGTGTTAATCCCCGGTGAATTGTGCCGGTGCAGGTCACAAAGTTGCCGACAACATTTTTCATGTTCGCTGACATCCCCTCAACATATTTAGACCAGTGTCTTGCTTTAAGCACTAACTTCTCACGGGACTTAATTTTACGACCCTTGTGCCCTAACTATAAAGGATTGCCACAGAGTCAACGAGATGCGTCAACAATCTAAAAAGTGGATGGCCAACTCTGCCCGGATCAAGAACAAGATGGGTTGCAGCATTTTTGCTGCTGACCTGAGAATTTGTGTTTGAGTACCTGTATGGTAACTTCTCATTTGCATACAGTTTCAATGTTGATGGTACTGTTAATGTTGTTGAAGAATTAACAGTATTGTGCAGTATTAGGGACTTTAAGATAGGATGACTACAGACTACGACTATGGTTAAACATGCTACTGTGCAGAACCACTTGACTGTTCATTTTTCCCGTGTAGTCCTGTGGCCATGGTGAGGTGTTGAACTGTTTCACGTAACATGGAGGTGGTCACAGATGGCCCGAGATTTCTCCTCCTTTCCCTTAGCAAGAAAGCCTTTACCTCAGCACTTGTGGTATTTGCCATTCTTGCCATTTTCAGCCTTCATGTGGCATAAGCCAAGAGTGTAGGTGGCACTTGGTGGACAATGAACAACTAAAGTACAGTCAGAGACTATACACAGCCTCGTGACCTGCAGGGACAGCGACAGTTATAAGCACTAATTGTTTAGCAGAATCACACGGGTAGGAAGATATTTTGTCTGGCGTGAGAGAAAAAATGCCACTGGCTTCCACATTCTCTGCCACATGCTTGAGGTGCTGTTAAGAGAATTTATCTGCCTAGTTGCTAGATATAAACACGGTGCAAATGTCCTTGAATTCTGTGTGAAGGCAAATCCAGTTGTCACCTTCTCTGTAGACAAAACATCTTTTGTCTCTGGTGCTGGTCTGCACAGACTATAGTCCACCATGAATGTGAACTGCCACCAGGCAAGACAATTTCAGCACCTTGGCCACGAAGGAACCTCCCAAGTGGTGGCCACAATTGCCCCTTTTTTCTGGTTTCCAGCAGTTGGGGTACACTGCCCGACATTTTAGACAAAAGCCCTGCCCCCAGTTGCTCTAAGTAAGCTTTACAGGAAGAGCGATTTATCAAAGCTAACTCTAAATTTTAGGCAAATTTTTCCTAACAAATCTTCTTCACTGATTTCCAGTGACGGCGTTCCAAGATGAACCCCCATTATATACCAAAGAACTATTTTTTGACCAATGAAAATTTTGCAACCACTGTAACGGAAGTTAAGTAATTGACCAATCTGAAGACCCGTTTCAATTGCTTCATATTAACTGAGTTTAAATCCGAATACATCCCTTCACTTGCACTTAGATTTGATAGCTGTCTTTAGGATGAAGAAGCTTTTTACCTAGACAACAATCATTTCAAAGAAATTTTAAGTTATACTTTCTTTAGGCTAGGACTTGCTTATTAGTATGCTTAAGAGAAAGGTAAGGTATTCCAAACTATAATTTCCTGTTGCATAAAGTGCAGGGATGGTATTAACAACACAAAGGGTATGGATTTTTGGGGGGGACACAAAATTGCAAACAAAAACATACACAAAGAACATATCAGAAATAGTGATAGATTGGATTCATGAGTACCGATTTGTATTAATTCGTATAGTGCACATTCAAAGTGCACCCAATGCTTTAAATTTACATGACATTTGTTCATGCAGAATTGAATAATTATTTTTATCAATTAATAAGAACCTCATGCAGTTCAGCTGTGCACTCAACAGCTTTCCTCTCACTCAATGATGTCAACTCTTTGTGCTCTTTAGCACTGTAAAGTCATTGGGTTGAACCTAGATACCCTGCATCTAGCAACTGGTGCAAACTTGGTAGCATAGTCTCCACACAGAATTCTTGACCAAACTAAAACATTCTTTAAGGCCAGTCTTACTCTCATCTAGTAAGCATGTTAGTGGGAATACCATGGCTGTGAACATTATGGAACGGCGCCTGTAGATCCGTGTCGCCCGCAAAATCGTGGGTCCCATGACTATTTGCGCGCTCACAAAGGAAGCCGATGCATGTCGCGTCCTTTGATTCAAGACTCAAGTGTTAGGGTTTTGTTTCCACGATACAAAGGTAATTTAACTTAAGAAAATCTATAGATCAAAGCTTTCACGCTACTCTCTGTTTTATAAGGAAATGCAAACTCTCAACTTGATAAATATTTTGACTTCATAAGATATTTTAACCATTTAGGCCAGCAGAATGTGTAGAATTCCAGAAAAACAATTCAGGAAGCTGGACGGTTTTAAACTGGGCCAGACGTTATTTTTATCAGTATGCAAATCACCTACCCAATCACTTACTTTCCATCGAACTGAAATATCCTGAATTTTTTTACCACTTTTCGATTTGATTCGTTTCATTTTAGATTATTTTGTGCAAGCTGAGCTCTTTCATGCAAATGTACGCTTTCAAAAGGAAAAAAACTTCGAGGAAACGTGTTTACAACTACGGCAATTTGTATCTATTTCACTTCACTTACGCTTATGTGCAAATTACTGTTCATCTGCCGGATTTCGCTGGAGACAAAAATATCGATTTTGAATTTCCAAATGCTTGCCTTTTGGGGCACCCCTTTTAT